GAGCCTTAACCTGGAGCCAGGTAGAGGGACCACACCGATAGTCTCTCAGCCAGAACCAGCATCACATTTCTCCCAAAGGACAAGAACATCCAATTCCTGCCCATTAGGCAGACAGAAAGATAAAAATAACAACGAAGGGTGGGGATGAGAATTCAGACAGTAGATCTGCCAGAGAAAGAAAAAGATGGGAATGAAATGGTAACATTTTTTCTGGAGGAGATGGGAAGTTTCTGTTGCCTGCAATGCATCTGTAGACAAATGTCTGATTCTTAAATTTGCAATGAACCGCTATAAAATGTGTCATCCAAGGGGGAAGAAATTTTGCCACTTACTCATTTCTTCACAGAATTGTATAACAGATAGATCCCTTAGAGATAATGTAGTCCAAACCTTGCCAGTATATTTTACAGAGAAGAAAACTACATCGCAGAGAAATGAGATGACTCGTCCAAGGTTATACAGATAGTGACAGAGCAATATTAGAACCCAGATTTCCTGATTTTCCAGTTTGAGGATTTTTTCTACTACATACACCATTTTGGTGGAAAAGTCCCATTTACTGAGAATTAAAACACTAGAACTTATTCTCATCCTCATCTCTTCCAATGCCCATCACTCTTCCCTCTAAAACCACTAACATTTTTTCTTCAAAAAAATTTTTTTAACATTTTTATTTAAAGTTTTGAGTTCCAAATTCTATCCCTCCTTCCCTTCCTCCCTCTCCTAGACTATAAGCAATCACATATAGGTTATACTTGTGTAATTATGCAAATATTTCCATATTAGTCATTTTGTACAAGAAGATTCAAATAAAGGAAAAAAAAGGTGAAAAATAGTATGCTTCAATCTGTATTTAGTCAATATCAGTTCTTTCTTTGGAGGCAGATAGTATGCTTCATCATTAGTCCTTTAGGATTGTCTTGGATCATTGTCTTGCTGAGAATAGCCAAGTTATTCAAAATTCTTCATTGAATAATATTGCTGTTATTGTGTACAATGTCTTCCTGGTTCTGTTCAATTCACTATGCATTAGTCTATGTAAGTCTTTCCAGGTTTTTCTGAAATCATCCTGCTCGCCATTTCTTATAGCACAGTAATATTACATTACAATCATACACTACAGCTTGTTTAGCCATACCCCAATTGATAGGCATCCCTTTGATTCCAATTCTTAGCTACCACAAAAAGAGCCACTATAAATATTTTTGTACATCTGGGTCCTTTCCCCTTAACCATGAACCAATTTGAGTTCACTCTTGACCAATGCAAAATTCTTCTCTTCACCTATCCCACTAATAATCCTATATGCTTCCCATCATCTCCAAGAAAGGCTATGAGATCGGTGAAAACTGTAGTATAGGGGGTAGCAAGATAAAGCATTGAGTATACTAGCAGAGTCCTAAATATCTAGACCTCATACTGAGAGCTATACTGTACACAGCCTCTAAGACCTCCTACCACTCCATCTTCTGCTTATCTCTGAATCCTCATTAGCTCTCGGCTCTCTTCTAAACCTTTCTAAACTTCCAGAGCTCCCAATGAACAGTACTTTTAGCTTCTGTAATCCATTATGCTACCAAGAGAATTTTTAATCAAGTTCCATTCAACTTCTAATGCATGAAGATAGCAAGGACTCAGTGACCACAGCTGCTTTCATTTTCAGGGGTCTCAATGCCTACCTTTTCCTAACAGAACCAGAGATCCTGATCCAATATGCTCCAACAGAAAGGGGTCAGGGCCATAGATCATTGTGCCATCAATAAATATCTTAGCAGGAGCCATGAAATTTCAATCAGAATAATTTATAATGTGAAGTCAAATATTATATAGTGAGAAATAAACAGAAATTGTCAGTCAAACTTCAGGCAGCTAGGGCCAGCATCAGAGGCAGTAAATGAACTAACTCAATAAATCTTGTTTATGGTCAGCCCTACTGAGCATAACTCTGCCAACAGGGCTTTCCATTATGTAGCGGGAGACACAGGCTTGTTGCATTCCACAGGGAATGAACAGCTCTAGTGTCCCTGGCACAGTAGTTTATGGTGGCAGTGGATGATGATTGAACCATTACTTTGTCCTGTCTTAGCTTCCTAGGTCAACAGGATGGTGTTTTCTATAGGGAATGCTGGAAAAAGGAATGGGACTAACTTGGGGTCCCAACTTCACAACATAGTTTATTAGAAAGAGACAAAACTGGGAGTCAGGAAACTCGAGTTCTCAGCCTGACCTCACCACTCTAGCCATGCAACCTTAGGCAAATTGTTTACCTCACTAGTCACCATTTCCTTATCTGTAAAGTGATTTGGACTAAAGCACTAACTTTTGGAATTTATGTATGAGGGGACCCTCAAGACCTCCAACGGATCCAGAGTTATCCTACACAGCCTCAAAGATGTAACTAGTATGATTTTGTTTGAGAGCGGAGGGAGTCTAAATTATCTCCTCACCATTAAGCCATCTGACAGATGTATCAGCACTTCTATTCATAGCACAAATGGGAGAGGACACCTCCAAGAGGCTGTCTCATACCAAGCCAAAGTCCCCTTCTTAACTATTTAGATACCTAATTCAATAAGCTGATGCAGAGGCATCTAATACTAGGACATATACATCCTATAGCCTTCCTTTCTCTCTCCTTTGTAGCTTTCCATGGCACCTAGCTACAGTCAACTACCTTGACTTCACTAACAAAGGGATATACACACACACACACACACAGACACACACACAGACATAGACAGACAGATAGATAGATAGATAGATAGATAGATAGATAGATAGATAGATATAGATAGATAGATATGTATGTATGTATATATGAATGTCTGTTTTCTAAGCTTGTGGGGGATGGTGAAGAGGGTTGGGGTCTAAAGAATCCATAAATACTACCTTATTTGAGCCAAAGACTACCTCTTGTGTCATTTGACACAAATAATCACATGCTGCAGTGTATAGAGCACTAAATCTGGAGTCAGGAAGATCTGAGCTCAAATCCTGCTTGTTACTTAATAGTGATCCTGAGCCAGTAGCTTAACCCATTTGCTTCAGTTTCCTTGTGTGTCAAATGGAGATGATAATAATAGCACTCACTTAGAGTTGTTGTAAGGATAAAATGAGATATTTCTAAAGCATTTTGCAAAGCTCTATATAAATACTAGCTATCATCATCATCAGAATACATGGTGATAATCAATAACTTTGAAAATGACTACATCAAACAACTTCTGTCCCAGTATAGCCTAGCCAGCTCTCCCTAAGCAAGACCAGGTCATCTGTGGTTCTTAAGACAGTGCCTCCTCCACTGCTTTCAAAGTCGTCTCCTGGGCCTTACAACTCAGCAGCCAGTGGCAAGCAGGGCAATAATTAGACCCTCTGCAGAGCTCTGCACTGATGATTTGAATAATTGAGAACATTGTAAACTTCAGTGATGGAGAAAACAGAGCGGCAAGGATGTTACTGAACATCTCCCTAGTTATTATCCAAGTCACCTTGAACATCTCCATGCAGGAGGTAGAAGATGATAAGTAGCATAAAAGGACATCCAGTATTTTTAAATGCTAGGAAAACCACAGTCTAATGAGCAAAGAGATATGATTGATAGCTATGTGTCATTCAAATCACAGTCCTCAAGGAAACATCCAGTTTCTGAATTCATTTCCTATTCTGTGTTCCCAACCTGTGTCCTAGCAGCAAAAAAAGTTTGTTCGGTTGCCACAAGGTTGACCCCCTTGGAATGACTGGCAGTTCTTTATACATATTGGTTTATTCGTTGTTGCTTTTATTTTGGGGGCGATTTGGTAATTCTTTTTGTGAGGGAACTACATCCACAGATAAAGAAGTGTAATGGAATGTAAAGATTATTCGATCTGGCATCAAAAGAACTGAATTCATATTCTAATTCTGTAACTATCTGTGTGACCCAGGATAAGACATTTAATAGTTTGAGGGTTGGACTGTATGGCTGCAAAGGTTCCTAGCAACTCTAAATGTATGATTCTTTGTGGTAGATAATAATGTATACAGCTATCATCCTGTATGGCTTTTAATTAAAATCTCATCTTTGTTGCTGTTGGGAGAGTCATTTTAAAAAGAAGTCTCATTTTATTTGCAATGCAATGAATGAAATCTTCCAAGACTTCCAGTATTTATAATGGAGTTCCACTTCTCTTTGAATTATTCTGAGGTTTTCTTTCTTGTTTGGGTAGTCCAAATTAGTTGAAGGTAGGTGGCAGACTGATCAAGAGCCTTTGAGCCGTAATAGAAGATGGTATCATGAAAATCTTAGACCAGTATTTAGGTGGGGATGGATTCCCAGCAAGCTACTATGCAGTGCATCAAAAAGAATGAATATTGTGTACATTAGATAAAGTCTTAGGCAGCCTCATTTATTTTAGGGCAGGTGATCAGGGTGAACAAAACTGGTATGCCTCATAATAACAGTAAAAATAATAACAAAGACAGAGTAGATTACATGTATATTGCACCCAAATGTAGACAGTGCTGTCATTTGAATATTTTGCCTAGAACAGAACTCATAGGATCATAGAATGATAGATTTTGAGTTGACTTAAGTGCTCATTGAGTCCAACCCTGAAAAAAGATTCAATAGAGTTAAGAAAGGGGATTTAAACTTTTCTTTGTCAAAATATTATAGAGTAATTGGAGTAAAATGGTCCCCAAATGGCTGTCTAGTCCACTATTGTTGCATTAGGACAATACTAAACCTTCTAGAAAGTGGAGTGTTAAAATCTGTATATAAAATATGGGTGATTCAGATGTTAGTACCTACAAAAACTAGTGTGATTTGTGCAAAACTCAACCCAACTCCCAATTTCTTGTCTTCCTAAAATTTCAGCCTAGGAATACACAGGAAGCTCTTACAGTCAACTTACTGTTGGGTCATACTACCTTCGTGAATATCTTCTCTCTTATACCCTCCCATCATATGCCTAGATTTTACTTTATGACTGAAGGATAAATAAAAATAAAGACAATGAATATTTTTTTATACTTTATTTGAGAAGAGACTACATAAACTATGTCAGGAAGATACAGGTTTACACACATTTTCATCAATCAATAAATGGAGTTGTTAACATAACACTGAAGATATGATACTATGAGGAAGACAGATGGCCAAGGAATATTTACAACTCTCACATGTGATATATTTATATTTGAGATGGATATATACATATATACATGTACATGTGCATATACATACATATATCTATACATACACACACATATATACATATATATGTATAAAAGGCGTTCTAAACAAAAGTCAAGAAAAGAGTTCGCCTTCATTTGCAGCAATTAATGTTTGAAAGTGAAGAATGCTTTGTATTTGTTAGTGTTGTTTTGTTAAATCTCTGCCCCCACCTTTAAATCCAATTCTGATAGAACCCAAATATGAAATGTCTACTTCGGGATTGGTGGGCATGAGAGTGACAGATGGTCTCATGGGTTGATGACTAAAGGGGGCAGAGTGAGAAGAAAATGTCTAATGGAAGAAATGACCTTTGGTGATGCCATTAAATCATCCTTTGTACTAAACATAAATTATTAATAGTTTTAAAAAAATAATTATCTGTTTTCTTTTGAGGTTGGGGAGAGTAAAAGGGAGCTAGGAAAAGGTGTAAGGGTGGGACATTGCCTTTTCAACACATCCCTTAACCTAAGTTGGGCACTTCCCCCCCACCCCAGGAGTATCTTATCAAGATAATATTAATATATTTACTCACATAAAGGCCACCTTCACATAACAGTTGCACCTGGACCATAAGCCTGTTATCCAATGGCCAATGCAATCATTACTGTATCTTCAGATGGCTCATGCATTTTACATATGACAAAATTGATGCTCCAAATATGGCCAATATACAGGTGAATAGGACATATCCAAGTGTTTTCTTCCTCAGTATAGGAAAAGTGCTTAAGAAACATCACCTCAAGGAAGAGGCAGGAAACATTTTTTTACTAAAAAATCTCAGTCTTGAATTTGAAATAAGCTACTTTGGAATCCAAAGGTTGGGAAAGAGGCAGGATATTAACTTTTCAAAGAAGTGGAAAGAACACATAAGCATCATAGAGGAGTATTTCCTAATCATACACAGAACTTATAAATATCATTTGAGGTGAAAATAAATCAGGTAAAATCCAGCTGAGCATTCCATGTCTCTAATGCTACCCATGCTGCCAAAACATCTCTCAGCCATAGTTAGACAACATTGTACACATTGCTCAACCTTTCTCTGAGCCAACTTGTGTTTTGGGTATATTTATGTGCAGGTGGGTTTAACTTGGTTTCAAACACTTATACATACATACACTCACACATACACACACACACATACATACCCTTTACATAGCATTGCTTAGTAAGTTTCTTAATGCAAATAATCCCTCCAAAGACCAATAAATTGTACAAATATTGAAAAACACTCATGGGTACATACATACCAACACATACACATACATACACAGTCAAATGCTAACAGATATAACTGCCTTAAACTATATTTAGTACAGAAAACTGGGGGGGGGGAATTGGTTTTTAACAGCACCTAAACTTCATTCCCCAAATTGCTTTTTTAGTATATACTAATCTCCTAGTGCACTGAAGCAGGTACCAGTTGATTCTTCAGATATTGAAACATTTCTGCACAAGTCTGAATAAAGATAAAGGACATGTAATGTCCAGTAGGAAATAAATCAGTGTACATCATTTACATGGCAATAAATCCTTCATTTCTTCTGAAATAAGGTATGTAAAGTAGCACTTAGTTTAACGCAAGTTTTTGTTCTGCATTAAGCCTATCTGTAAAAAGCCACTCATGCAAAAAATTACCTCCAGGTTTAGCTGGGTTTTTAAAGGACACTTCTCCTGAAACCGAGTCCCTTTCACATAGGGAAAAGTGGGGAAAAACATACACTTGTGGCAGCAAATTCCAGCTGACAGTAGAAAATTCAAGACTTTGGTGTTTGTAAGGTATTTGCCATAGGGAACCTGAAAGCAGTACTGAGCTGACCTATAAAGGATCAGAGGGCTGAAATAGCCCTAGAAAGCTTCAGGACTTTCCCAAACACTGAATATTTGGGGACCTTTGTCCTCTAACCTATTCCTTCCCTAAATTTTTGCCATTATCCCTTCCATATTTCAAAGGTTTCTTGATCTGTTTCCTAATATCATTCCCAGTTGACCTGAAACCTCCTTGCCAACTGTTCTTTAAATCCATTACCATCCAGTTAACAACCTCTTCCCCTTTATCCTATAACACTTTTTCTCCTCTGAGGATTATGTACAGCCTCATCCCTAATTTCTTGTCAATCAAAACTATACGTATATGCTTTTGCCAAATGCCTACAGTTATTCCTACCTTTAAATACAAGAACCTCACCTAATCAAAGAGATACTAATTAGAGTCTTCTATAATCCCTTCAAAATCCTCCCCACTCCACATATAAATATATGCACATATTTTCCTATGGAAAAATTTGATTTGGATCTAAATTTCATCCAAAGTACCAGGAGAAAGTGAAAAGGATAACTTCTACTTAGGACTGCAGGCTTGGTGCAGAAATCAAGATTATAAATATCAGTTCACTTGCAGGATATGGCTGTTGTCCACTTTTACTTTCTACTGACCCCTAGCAGGGGAGTTACCCAAAGGGGACTATCTTAATATCTCAAAATACTGCAGTTACTCTACTGGGAACCATTTAGAATAGTATCTTATTAGAGAAATACAAAAGGCATTGCTGAAAGAACCAGAGGGGAAGAGAGGGAGAGAGGGAGAAAAGGAGTATGTTCAGTGCTTCATAGGATTCAAAGGTAGTTTCATTGAACTTTATTTGGCCGCTGTAGAGAAGATGGCATTTAAGATGAAATCTGAGCCAACTGTCTCGCCTTCTATGCAGAGAAACCAAACTGCCATGAATTGAGAAGGATTCTACATGCTGCATTTGCAAATTCACCAGGAGAAGGTAATATGGGCTCTAAGGTAACATCTGCTTATTCCTTTGTGTTATGATGACTGGACAGTCCCAAACTAAAGAGATAATATGTCGAAAGCTTTGGTTGATCTTACTTTTTCAATATATCTAACCAGTATGTTATTGTAGGAAATGGAAGAACAATTAGTTGTGATTTCATAAAGGGAAAATCTCATACTTAATAGTACTATGACCAATTAGATTCAAAACAATGACCCTCTGATTTCCCCACAAATATTTTATGTTTATAGGTTATCAAAATGATATGGGTCTAGTAGGGAGTTTACTCTTCTTGTAGACTTTTTGTCTTACTTGCTTGGAATATTGTCTTCAATTCCCATAATAATGTGTCCAAATGAACATTGTCTCCAATGTACACTTTCACCTTGTGAAAAAATATGTAGGAAAGAATAAATGCACATATACAAATTCTCAGAGTCTACACTTATAGCATTTCCTAAGTTTGTGGTTCACAAATCAGCTGAGCCCTGTGATGGGCTCTGAGGACAAAAGGTGCCAAAGTATGATCTTGATTGACCTCTGCCTGCCTTTCAGCTCTATTTTCCCAAGCTCCCAGAACTGGCACAATGTGATAGAAACAGCTGAACCACCAGGCTTGTGAGGAAAAGAAAAGATATGATTTGCCAGGGAATGAATACCACAGCTTAAAAACAAAGCCTCCCAGTTGCATCCCTAGAGGGTCAGAAGCATGAAAAAGAAGAAGCCTGTTCTCTGGTTGCCAGGAAGGTCAGGGTAGAAAGCAAGCAGTGTTTTAAGAGGGAAGATTGCTGTCCCTGGTCCTGAACACAGACAGCCATGATCCATAAGTAGTATTCTCCATTCTGGAATGAAAAAGTCTAACCTATCACATGGAAAACTCAGCAGTCCATGACTCTTGGTGAACCCCAAGACATATTTATTTCAATGTCCACTTTTCATACTGGTTCAGGCAAAAAACTGGTCTCTGAAGTATCAGGAACTTCTTAATCAGAAGCCATGTTTCTCCATGGGCTAAAGTTGGCAAGATTTTGATGTTTATTCCCTGGTTTAGACCAAGTATCTTGTATCTTTGGATTTCAGCAGATTGCCTGTATCCTTCTCCTCTGAGCAATTGTCCTAAATATCAAAGGTAGAATTGATTTAGATTACTATGACATCTTTTCAGAAGAATTTTATTTGGGGAGATGAGAATCTACCCAAAATGCTGATCCACAGATTTTTCTACTCCTCCAGACCTAATTCAATAGTCACATTTCCAAGAAACTGAGCAGAGTTTTACTGTGCTCTGGAATCATAAACAACTCCCTTCTCCACTTGTTCAAACCTCCCCCCAAAAAAAAAAATTTGGAAAAGCAAAGCAGACATAAAATAAAAACTATTCTTCCCCTGATTATACCAAGCTTTGCCAGGGAGACAATGACCTTTGAGTTTTCTCACAAAGTGAGGACTGTCTTCTTTCAAGTTGCTTCCTTTTTATTATATTCTGAAACTTTCCCTAGAACAGTTCCTCCTCCAAGACATAGAACTAATCAAGCAGGCAAGTTGACACTATAGTGCAATAGCAACAGGGTATATGTCATTGAAAATTACCTCCATCTCCACTGGATTGGTTGAGTAGTTGTTTTGTACTACAAACTCAGAGCAATCTTATCTGGCCTTGCAAATGGAACAGCCTGCTGGCCTCCAAGAAATGCTAAACTCTCAGCCAGAGCAAGAAAAAAAGTGTCATAACAAGTTTTCCTTGTTCCTGTTAAAATATTATCTCACATTTGCCATAACCTCTGAGTTATTTCTCCAGTGATACCATTGAAATCTCTAAATAATCACTCTTGTTGCTAGGAAATCATACACTGAGGCAGATTGTCCTAGGCAGACCTTTGCTTTATTTTGAAAGAGGTTATCTCCTCAGGATTTACAGAATGAATTATAAAATATCTTTATGAACTGGATGAGATTCTCAAATTTCACACCCTTATTTTAAAAAATCTTAGTTCTAATCCAATTCAGATTCTTCAAAATATACCTTAGTGATATTGTAGACACCTTGGATTCCCCAAAGGTCATTTAATGTCATCTTTGCAGCCTAGAAATTGGCATCATATTTTTTAAAAGAAATTATTTTTGATGATTTAATTTCCAACTGTGTACCTGTTGATGGGAAGTGCACTCACACACAGTTATTAATGAATTAGGGATTTGAGATTTTGTTTTGTTTTTTACCATTTGTAAAGGAAGAATTCCTTAGGTTTAGTGTATTTTCCCATATTTCTTTGGAAATGGTAGTGATTAGCTTTCCTGGTGCCCATCACTTTTCACCAACTATCTGAAAAAAGTGGCTATTTGCCAGTAACATACACAAAATTTTACTATGCACTAAACCAAAGGAAAACATCATATAAAAGGGATGATAGTGGACAATGGTTTAAAAAAATGGTAAAACAGTACTAAATTTGAATACATGCTCAAAGTCCTAAACATAGAAATAAGGTGTGCCAGCCACTTTCCTTCAGTGAAACATTTAACAGTCAAAGCTTTTAGCATGTCTCTCTTTTAAGGCACCATTTATCTTTGAATGGACAATAATGACATGACCTTAAGAAACAGAATGACAAATAATGAAAATCTCTAAAACTAGCTAGATGTTTGAGTGAAGGTATACCTCCAACCTTAGCAGAACAAAATGGCAGCATGCAAAAAGGCTCTTCATCCCTCATTTCTGAGAAAGCCAGTTGAATATTATCATTTCACCAGGCAATGATAAAGCCTTCACCTATAAAGATGGAGTATTTCCCAAGAAATTGAGGGAGAAATAGAGAAATCAAGAAACTTCAGTATCATATGCCATCCCTGGAAATATTAGGATGGGGTGGACAAGAATAATGTAGGTTAACACAAGATCTAGTAGTTAAAATGATACAAATAGATCAGGACTCGATATGTTAAAGGATTTTCTAATGGCAAAAGTAGCTAGATAGGGAATCAAGCAAACATGTGTGGTTATTGTCCTTGAGACAAAGAATAGGAATAATATACATCATTTGGGATTGTTTAGGTAGTCAGAGGCAAGGACTTAGATGACCTCAGGTCACCTTTTCCACTTCTGTGTTTTCAAGACAAGAAGCATGTTAACAGCATGCAGCAGCTTGGCTTAATCACCTCACTGATGCTGTCATAATGTGGATCTGTTATTTAATTTTTTAAAAGGTCATCTTTTATGAGATGCTGATGCCTTCAACAAATCTGCATACTACTACAACAGTCACTCCACTAATGAGGTGACTCACTTCCTGTCATGTAGTTCTTCTACTCCTTGAGAACATGGGCCATTCATCAAAGTCTACATATGACAAGGAAAAAACTCTAATATTTGCTTTAGCATTCTTCATCTTCTTCATTAAAAGCCAGAGGAACTGGTTGAATATTTCAGAGAAAAGAAATATGCAGATGACAGTTACTCTAGGTATATGCATGAAATACAAAAATATGATGGGTTTCAGAAAGAAAGAATGAGTTATTTTAATTGACCTGTTGTCCCAGTCCCTGTCCAAAACTTATCTACCTCATTGGGAGAATAACATTTTTTCATTGTTCTAAATGTGAACCCTAATGAAGTGATTCTTCCTACTTCTCTGGTATTTTAACAACTCAACAAAGGGGGGATGCTAAATTTGGGGGTTAGGGAGACTGAAAAGGGACGCCTAAATTTTCATGCAATGAAATGGGATACTGGAAGGTACTGGGATGGATATCAAATATCTTCCTACATTTTGATAGTCCAGGGTGGGAAAAGCCCTCATAATGACTCTGTATAAGATATACCTCTCCTCCCCTTTAAGTAAGCAAATTAGAGTAATAGACTACCATTATAGCAAACTACTAAGTGATATGTATGTATAATGAGGCAAAGTAGCAAAGTGCACTAGACTTGAATATATGAAAATCTAGGCTCAAATCCTGTCTCAGACACTAACTAGCTATTTGATCCTGGACAAATCACTTAACCTCTCTTGGTTTCAGTTTCCTCTTCTATAAATGGAGATAAAAATAGCATCTACTTCATAGGGTTTTATGAGATAAAGAGATAATATAGGAATAGTACTTTATAAATTTTGAAGCTCTTTTCAAATGGGAGATATAAACAGAAAATCCTGATGCTCCATGGGTTCTGATTCAAATTGTAACATTGTAAAGAACAGATCTCTCCATTGCTGGCACAGTACCCATCTAGCAAACCTACTATGACAAAAGTGGAAGTGATTAAACAATTAGGTGGCATTACAAAGGTGACAATATGAAGAACTTTATCAGAATGTTCCAAATAGGGATGGAGGTATTCTAACTGTTCAGGGTCACATCATATGGATTTACCTCTGGCTTAAAATAATCAAAAATAATGCAAATTTGAAATAGACTTGGACAAAATATAGAGAACTTTCATAGTAGAGACCTAAACATTCCATTTTACTGTACTGAAAAAGTTAACCTTTTGTCTTATTACTACATTGATCTTGGATGATTTGCTGAGTAGTCCCTTTCACCAGCTCTGTGCAAGGGACTAAACAGATTAAGAGGTGGGATTTCTTCTGCAAGGCAAATCTCTGAAACTGGGTAGAAAATAAGCTAGAAGCTTTGTACAACCCAAGGGTAATCCTCTCTGGCTATTCAGTGAAAGAGTCATGGAGGCTGCTACTTTTATTGTTGTTGTTGTTGTTGCTGCTGCTGCTGAAGGGCCTTAAACTAAACTGAATATTAGCTCAGCTAAGTCTGATGAATATTCTAATGCTCTAGTTGAATGTTATAAAAATATGTAAGCTAAATTTCTGGTTTGAGCCAGTACACAAGATGCTTTATTTTGTGTTGTAATTTTCTTTGAAATAAATATTTCTTCTGGGTCACTGAACTTGGTGTAGGGTTCCTAATACTACTTGCTATAGGTGCCATCCCTGCTGATGGAAAGTATTGGCTAGATGGAAAGATATTTTACAGAAAGTGGTATTACCTGGAAACACAAAATATTAAAATTGGAAAGGTCCTTAAAGATCATCTAGTCCAACCTCCTCATTTTGAGGATGAGGAAACTGAGGCCCAGAAATGATTATTGACTTGCCCAAGGATAGACAAGTTCAGTTTCAGAGGTGAGACTAGACCCCAGCTCTCCTGATCCTTAGACCAGTTTTTTTCTTTTTCAAATTATAACATATTCCTTCTTAAATTCTCCTGAAAACATCAGATAAATCTGTAAATAAGGTGGTTTTCTCTCCACAAGGAGCTGAGAAACTCATGATTTAGTCTTCCTTAAAAATGAAATAGAGGTGAGAAATAGGCTTGGTGTTGAAATATAAGAACAGGAAAAATAGGTAATAAGCCCAGCAAATATACTACACACATGTGCACCATAGCCATAAAACTGTTAACATAAGCTACATGAATTTGGATCAATGAATATGTGTACATGACATCTCATAAACATTGATAATGGAAAATGAGAAAGAATGCATGTATACAGAACAAAAGGCCCAGGCATCTAAAACAAAATATGATACTTATTACTTTTCATATGTTGTCAGTAGTCTTTACTTTTTTATGATGTTGGCCATGTCACATTATTTTCTGTCTAAAAATGAAATAAATACCCTTCCTTGGAAGTATGGTTAGGTATTAATGTCTCCCCTAACAGAGATATTAATGGAAGTTCCCATGCATAAAAGGAGAAGAAAAGTAGGGTAACTTTTTAAAGGAGAATCAGTCAGCAAACACCATGGAGTCATGTTCCCTAGGATTCCATAGATGATTATTATGGTCTAAAATTCTGAGGTTACTTTCCAAAGACTTCTGTGTGTTTTTAGTATAGATTTGGATCTGAACGATGATTAGAAGCCCAGGTTCAAGCCCTTTCTGGAGTCCTCAAGTTTATTCCAAGTGCTCACAAAGGTTCTGGCCCAATGCATTAAGTTTAGATCAGTTATTGTATTCATTTAATTTGTTACATACAGTGTCCAGCAATGGTATGAATTCAGTAGAGATAATGACAGTGGACAATCACCAGCAGTTTTCATAAAAACCTTACTGTAGTTCATTGTCCCTCTACTGCTCTCAGATGTCCACTTCTAACCAAAAGGAAAAGAGATCTGGGTGCTGCTTCCTGACATAAGAGAAGGATGCGGCTTTAGAGAGAAAGGCTGTTTAATAACCCAAGTCCATCTGCATCAGCTGCCTGTGCCAAAAGATGTATATACAAGCTGGTTCACAAAATCTTGGCTTCAATAACCGGCCTGTTGCATTCAGAACCTGATCTCTAAGACAGAGCATTTTGGATTCCAGAGTAGAAAGAAGTCAGTGACTTACAACCAACCCATTCTTTCAAAATCATGATTCTTCCCAGCATCTGGATATGCAGTGCAAACTGTTTGTCATCATCAGAGTGACTTTCATCCTATGATTAGTGCTTCCCTGGCATCATCACTCTAACTGAGCAGAAAGCCTGGCTCAGCATGATGGTCAGAAAAAGGTCAGAGCTCCTGCTGCTGAGAATGGATCCCCACTTTCACTCCAAGGCCCCTGTAGTTTGGTAGTGCAAGGACAAGGAGATCAGTGGGTGGGGGAGATAAAAATGGAGGAGCTCAGGATGGGCCACCATGGGTTCCAAATGGGATTTACAGGAGATATAGGCCAAGCATCTCAATGAGCTTTGCTGTAAAATTTACTGCACAGAGGTTAATCTAGATGTCAACATTGTCTGACAGCACTGAAATTACTCCAGGGCAGCGCTCCTTCCGAAGTCTTAATATAACAGTCAATTCCATCCTGCCTGAAGGAAATGAAAGTTTTCTGCTTTGTGTGCTGAATCATCCAGCACCAATTTTCTCAATGTTTGAAGTCCAAACTGTTTGTGGTCCTGGGATTCACCTCGAATTAAGACTTAGTCTTATTTTGAGAAGTCCTCTTGTCAATCCCACAAAGGCAGGAGGACAGCAGCAGAAAAAAAAAAAAGAAAAAGAAAAAGGAAAAAGAAAAGAAAAGAAAAATCTTTTCCTGTTGACCACAAAAATCACATCACCTGGGTCAGATTTCTTTGTTCACTTGGCCTCTGAAGTTCCAGAGGCACCACCTCAACAGTGCGTTCACTATCCCTGCTTTGACAACAGCATAAAATGGACAATCACTGAAGAAAGCAGCCGCAGACCTCTGAGGCCATGGTTGCTGCAAGGAATTTATTCCCCCAAGTATTTTCTACAAGATAACCTCTAAAGAATGAGCAATTTTACTTCTTCCATGCTCTATTCATTGACTGCAAGAACCACTTCCATGGTTTTCATGTCAGATGGACTGAAATAAATTTTGAGGTCCACTTGCCTTTTGATTAAGTTTTAGTGATCTACAACCCTTAAGAATTTTGGTAAATAAAGTAGGCGTCTTAGCTTTTACCTGACTTTGATCTCTTAAAAGAAATGCCCAAGTTGCTAAGGTTTTCTAAGACAAGAGAAGAAGGGCGGGGGTGGGTTTGTATATAGGCTTACACCACACCAGACAGCTTTGTGTTAACCTTTCACTCTTTATCCCCCTTGGCTGCTCCAAATTATGAACTGGCACATTACGATGAAAGAAAAGGCAATTGATAACAGGAAAAAAGAAAATCCCGGTGAATCAGCTTTTGTTAGATTGAAGAGATGGTACAGCTCACTGATTTAAGATATTTTTCTGCTGTCATCTCCAACACTCACTCACTCTCTCTGTCTCTCTCACTCTCTCTCTCCCCCTGAGTATCAAAACCAGACTAGTTTTACCCATGACATCTTTGGAAAGGGAGGGCAGTGTTTCGGTTATTTGTTTTCAACTTGGATCAAGTATAGGGTACAGACTTTCTGCCCTCAGCTCAATCCAATTCCACTCTCTTCCTCCCATCCCACCTCCACCACATACACACACACACACACACACACACACACACACACACACACACACTCTCTCTGACATCTCTTTAAGTTAGGGTTGAAACATCAATCAGAAGACTATATACTAAAAGGAAAATGAGAGGACAAGAGACATTTCCCCAAGCATCACTGAGGGTGGGGTAGAGAAGGAAGGAAAGAAAAGGAGGCTTAGGTAATGTTATAAGCAATCATAGAGGTGTTTTGTTCATTCCCCACCTCCTTCCTCAAGTGAAGCTATGGAAGGTTTTGTGATTCTTATCATTGTTGTCATTCATTCCTCTTTCACCAAAAAAGCTCCTTCTGAAGAGAAAAAGTTCCTATCTCATCATACAGGAATGGGGTGGGGAGAATAGAGACACTTCTTTCTTAGATGGAAAAAAACGTTCCATGCAGGCAAGGGGAATGAACCCCACAGCTGGCAAAGAAAGAACATTTCTGAAACAAGTTCACATCCCCTGAAAAAAACATATACGCTCAAAAAAAAAACACAACCCAACTTTACAGTGATTAATTATAACTCCTGTAGCAGTTGTATCAATATTTACCATCTCCACCTTTGTTAAGAATGAATTTCCATCCTTACATTTCAGAAAGAATAATCATCATCTCCTCTCTGTCCCAGTCCTTGTGGAGAAAAGCCTTGGGGGTTACTTGGAGTAACACCTGCTACTGTCATATTCACAATGGGAGGGGTAAGGCAGATAAATAGCCTGGTGAAACAAGGCAATGGATGAAGAGTCAGATGAGGACACTTTCTGTGGTTGTTTTTAGGATGTCTGCTATTCAATGATAAGTGTGCACTGAACAGTCAGCCACACACTGCAAGATGATGGAATTCTATTCAGCACCTGATTGAAGTCTCCTGGCCTTTTTTAGTTCTGCTTTTCCCACCTACTGGAATCCTATGAAACTCCAAGAAATCATGTAGTCCCTCCTGCCCCACCTCCAAGTAAGTCTTCATGGAATCATGTGACAAAATAGCATTCTTTTATTACAAGATGAAATATTGTCTTAGATGGCTACCTATTATCTGAAGACATTTAAGAGGTTGCATTTCCCAGAATCTGTTCCAATATCTCAGCATTTCTGAGAATGAGCATGAAAGTTTTCTATTCCACAAAGGGACTTTCCCTTTAAAACTCATGAAAGAGGAACCACTTCACTTAATGTAGAAGAAGGAAGTGAAACTTTAAGAAACCAAGCCACAGGAATCATAGGGCCAAAGCCAACACGATACTTTACATACTAAAGTCAGAGCCAGAGGAATTCTAAGAGTGGCAAATACAGCCAGGCAGGCCCTAAAGACAAAGGACTGGCATCCAAATACAGTTGCCAGTGGTGAGACTACCATCAGCTTAAGAGATATGTGAGGATAACTATTGTGTCAGGACTGCCACAGTCAATGCTCAAGAAAGCTAAACATTGCTTCAAAAGCTGCATTGCCAGAAGGACAATAAAACAGATGCATTCTACTTTAAAATAGTGAACAGGGAGGAATTCTTGAACTGGAAATACTTTGTGGGAACATTGTAGCCTCATTCAAGGCTCTTTTTGTTAGCCTCCAGGTCTGTGGCACCCTCTGCATTTTGTCCCATCCTGGCTATTCTCAAAGACTCTGAACCTTGGAATAGCAAACTGGGGATCAAAATAGCTATGTCTAGTAACTGAATACTGTACATTGCCTGAACTTACTCTAGAATCTGTGTATGTGTGCGTCTGTTGAGGGCATCAATGCTAAACCCAGAAAAGTTGCCGAGGGGACCCAACTGCCCCATTCACTCCATCAATACACCTTAGCAGCATCAGCCACCATATCCTCACCTGCCTTCTAGAGCCCATGACTGTGTGATATAGCGCAAAAAAAGAAAAGGACTTGGTATTAAAGGATGTGGGTTTGAGTCTCATCTCTGCCCCTTATTATCTGGGTGACCTTGAGTAAATCATTTAACTTCTCTGAGCTTCAGTTTCCTTATCTGTAAAACTGGAGAAAGAATAGGTTTGTACTGCCTACCTCACAGGGTCTTTATGAGGAAAGGGCTGCCTTAAAATCCTGAGACAGATGAAGAGCAAGTATTAAGTGCTATCAAAAACATGATACCATTGGGCTTATTTACAACTCCTCCATCCCATGTTCCTTCCCCCCCAAAAAAAAATAGCAGAGAAAGTGTCAAATTCCAGCTATTTTCTTTTTTTTCCTATCAGAAACAAACAACATAATATGGTATTGCTGCCAAGAATACTACTTGGCTTTTCGAGTTATGGATTTTCAGAGCCGAGAAGGATCAGAGAACTTATCTAATCCAATTTGCTTCATTTTACAGAAAAGGAAACTGAGGGCACAGGTGATGTGATATATGCCCTTGCAGGGACCACAATTAATTGCTGGCAAAGCCAGATCTCTTGACTTCCATACCCATGCACTTTGCATTAAACCCTGCTGCCTCACTTCTGAACTTTATATTCTGCTAGTGTATTTCCCTTATTCTCTAAATTGACTCATTTTTGCTCTAGAGGCTGGCTCCTTTGCTACCACGGAAATTAAATGACAGTTCTCCTGGAGAGTGGGGGCAGGGAGGGGGCCACAGAGAACTTTCTTCTTCCTTGTGTGAGTCATGTCTCAAGAGAACTTGTACAGGGCAGGCTGAGTGAAAGAATCACTGAGAGCTTTATCCCATTGGCCCTAAATGGGATTAGGGTTTACCTTTAAGCTCCACTCAAAGCATGTAATTACAGGGTGGGGCTCAGGGCACACCCCAATTAAGGAAGGCTTAGAAAGTTGCAGAGCTGTCTCTAAGAGGAAATAGTTTTGTAGGAGCTCCCAAGCAGGACATCATTTTTCAGTCATTAAAGGGGGCTAGTGATGAGGGTAAAACATCAGAGAATAGCTCCTGGGTCTTAAGAATTTCAGAGGGCCCAGTCAGGGCAGGGGGCAAGCTATGAGGCCCAATACCAACCAACATTCAAACACAATCTAATTAAGACCATAAAAAGTGGAGGGCAGAAGGGTCTTTTTAGTGGTGGCAAGGAATTTGGGACTGGGTAGGTGAAATACATTTAAATAACGTGTTTAACTTCAGCTTATAGTTTCAGGAGGGAAAAAAAGTCATAAAGCTTGACCAACACAGGGGAAGCCCAGAAAAGAAGAAGCACAGGTGGGGAGGGGAGACCAAACAGTACTTAGTATGATCCTGGAATAGCATCTTTGATCTGGAGGAGCTCTAAGAAATCAAAAGTTCAATGCCTTCATTTTATAGCTAGAGGACCAACACCCAGAAAGGTTCTGACTTATCCACTCTGTCTGATGATTAGAAGATATTAACCCAAGATAGTTCCCCATTATCTTACATATTCCTACTCATTCCCTCTCCTTGTCTCCTTTCTTCTCTTCATTCCTAACACATGGACTTTGTTCAGTTGCTTCTGAGAGCATTTCAACAGGCAAAATGGACAACTCATTCAGACCCCACTCAGAACTAACAGTAGGTAGCAAACAGGAAGAAAGCAGCTTCTGGTATTTCCCCACCAATTTCCATTCCCATCCTCTAACTGCAACAAGGCAGCTTAAATGGGAGGATAGGGTCAGCTGATCGTTTTAATCTCATTCACAAGCCCAAAGGAACAGCATTCTTTCATTAGACCGGTGATTACTGGCGGTATCAACTTAAAACCTCTTCTTCCACTTGCAGGGATCCAATTACAAAGATCCTGAGTCTTTTTCTCCCTGCTCCCCTGCTCATTCATTGGTCAACATGAGGCCTCAATAACATAACTTAAAAAAGAGAGTCCCAGATATCTGTTGGCAGATGGGCAGCAAGAGGAGCAGATGAGTTTTACCTGTAATCATTAGTGGCTTTCCTGGAGTGGAGAACTTCCCTTCCACCTACCTTTGATTCTTCCCTCTCCACCCATTCCCTCCACCACTTTACATGAATACTTTCCTCTTTACCAAACAAACAAACAAACAAACAAACAAAACCACCAAACAACAAAAGCAGCATTGCACCATGCTGTTGGGCAGTTAGAGATCCCAGAGTTTAACAAGGCTCCCAAGGGCAGAGAAGAACGGACAGACAAATAGGATAGAACAGCAAAGTATTCTTTTTACAAGGTGGGATCTTGCCCCCATTCATCTATGGAAGCTCCCCAACCATCTTCAGGGGTTTTCTGGCCACATCACAGTAAGCAGAAACCAAACAAAGCTCTAGACTAGCCTCTTCTGCTTTGAAGCCCAGCTGCAAAGCCCCCCAGTTCCACTCTCTATCATCTCAGTACAGTAATTTTCTATTTGAATAAAATCATTTGCCCTGGTTCCCACACAGGGGGTTCCTATACTCCAGATTAGAAGCAAGTGCTATCAGCTGACAGGATGCCACGGGCTGCAGATGTATTCTTAAATAAGCAGTGAAGGAAAAGTTTCCCCAGCCCTTAGGCTGAAGCTCCAGTTACATAGAGGCATAATTTCTACCAGTCACCTAGGTAGCACTGGGCTAGGAATTAGGTTGAGATTTAGGAAGAACAGGGTAATAGTAGCATTACTCCTTCCTATCATGATAGGCACTCTTTTCTGCTCTCTCTCTCCTGACTATAGTCAGTCCCATAATAGTCCCCAGGAAGGCAATGATTCCACTGGCAAAGGGGTAGGAAGAGCTGCTGCCCTTGCCCAGGCTCCACTCATTCTCTCTCACTGGTCAGGGCTCTGTCCTCATTAAGATGCCAAGACTGCTGCACTTGGCCACTCATTGAATATCTTCCAGAGAAAGCTCTTTCCCTCCCCCTCTGCCCACAAAAGCTATTCCTCACCCTCTGCATTTCACAACAGCTCAAAGGCAGATGCATCAATCCTTTCAGGGGCTTGGGAACGTGAAGAGAATGGCAAAGTGACTGGGTGCAGGTGCCCAATAGGTTTTTCCCCATGGGCTCTTTCCCACCCTGCTCTCTGCTGCAAATACCACCATCTTCTTTATCATGACCTATCTCCCCTTTCCTCACTTTGAGATTCAGAGTGTATCTGAATGATGGGGGGAGCAGGGAAGAGTAGAAAGGGGGAAATTGAATGAAAAGGGGAAGAGACCCAGTAAAGAGAGAACCCTAAGGAGACACACCTGGATACTACAAGGAACTAAGAATTGTTCTGATTTAAAACTGCAGCTTGTTATACCCACATAAATGGGACAATATGGAGGAGCTTGTCTTCCCCGCCCCCAACACCTCTCCAATGACTTAAATACAAAGGATAGGGAAGTGAAAGCTGTTTGTTATAAGGGATGGGTGGATAATGGCATTTCCAGGTTTTTTTTGGGGGGGGGAGTGGAGTAGACAGGTCTTTTCCCATGGTTCTTTAAGGCGAAGGAATCCTCAAGAGGATAGATGACAAACCCCTTTCCAAGTCCAGCAAAGAACTTCAGCCCAGCCAACACCAAAGTCTCCTCTTGCTGCTGTCATGATTTTGTGTTCTGCTGTTGGCTTTTTGTTTGTTTATCTGAAGGGATCATGATGGTATGTCCCCAAAACATCAAGTCTATGTTTAAGAATCAGTAAATTAGAAAGTTGTCCTGAAACAGGAAAAGAGAAAGGGATGGGGTAGCATTGGAGTGGAAAGTGCGGTGGAGATAGAGTTTAAAGGATTAGGGTAGAAACAGGATGAGTTCCCAGAGAACACTGCTATTGTGTGGTTCTCTTGCCTGGGAGGAGCCATCTACCCCAGGACTCTATTCAGACCTTCAGTGTATATCATACTTGAGCAGCAGGACTCTCACCCCACCTCAACTCTTCCCATCCCAACAAGAAGATTGTCTCTCTGCATTGTCAAGGGTCTTCAGCTCTGAGCAGCTAGAGCAGAAGAAGCATACACAGCAGGGGCCAGTTGCTGGGGCCACAGCTTTAGTTGAAGGGTTGTCCATTATTTTTAATACTTTTAAGGTTTTCTATGTTTCTGTTGTTGTTGTTGTTAAGTTATAACTTTCTGTAACAGCAGCTTCTCTCTGTATTGGTGTGGAAGGTATCTCTGCAGATTATATACATATATATATCATATATGTATACATGTACATATATATGCCAAACTGCCTTACAGGTTGTCGGGTTTTTTTTCAGTGTTGTATGTGTAGCAGGCACTTGAGTTTATGTGAAGATGTTTGCTTCAGTCAGGGAGGAAAGAAATGGGAAATAGGGCAGGTAGGAAAGAAGTAGGGCAGGGAAAAAGAAGGAATTTTTGACCACTAGCCAAGGATGTCCAGGTAAATCGGGGTGGCCTTCCCCAGAGCATGAAGAATTTTGTAGATTTCCTTGATATTGAGCCTCTGCTGGGGTTCCCTCTGCCAACATCCCAACATGATGTCATAGACCTCCTTGGGACAGACCCGGGGCCTCTCCAAGACACGACCTTGGGTAATGCATTCAATGACCTAAAAGAGAAAAAAAAATAAGATAAAGGAAGAAGAAAATTCACTATCCAGATTCCAAAGCCTTGTACCTTTCTTCCATACCTGGGACCATGAAAAGAAAATGCTTAAATGGAAAACTCCAACAGCAAAAAGAGTCATTGTGGTTAGAGTCTCTGCTTTGCTTCTGATTTGGGTTGAGAGGCACTGTTTTTTCTACTATTTTATTGGTGGCATATGCCAAGAATGAGATGGAGGAATTGCCAAGTTTGACTATATGAAGCTTGTCTCCATTCTCTCCTCGTGACCAATCATACCTGCTACTTGCTTGGCCAGTTTTCTTAGTTCTCCATTATTCACTTTGCTACACCACACTACTTTCCTATTTCTTCTTGTGCCTATTGCATATTTAAGCAGCCTCTCCCCTTCACTTTATTTACCCTTTACTTCCTCTGGTCTGCCTACTCTTCTCTTGCCTTGAAGGACTCTGGTGATCACATTTACTACAATCTCTTTTCAGTAAGGATCATTTCACCATGTCATTCAACTTCTTACAAACTAGGAGTAACTTCCAAATACCATTTACCTCCAGTTAAAGCTTCTCTCAAATTGGCTACCCTTTCTATATCACCATTACTTCTGCACATAACCCTAATTCTGCTCTACCAAGGCACATCTTTCTGCTTAGACCCATAAACACAACATTTGCACTCACCCTGAAGTCATTCAAATATTTTAACTGTTCAACCTACACCAAGCCATCTCCCTTCTCCTCTTCAGCACCTTTCATAAGACTCACCTTTCCTCCATGAACTTGTCCAGAGTGGTTTATGTAGCTCCAATTATTGTATGACCCACTCCTGTACCCGAGTCATTCTCTTTCCTTCTCTGCAGATGTAGGGGTTGCACAGGAACATATCTCTGTGCTGGTATTTGGCTGTATATCTCTGTTCTTTTCATTTTTATACCTTGTGTCTTTTGTACAAGTCCTATCTTTCTTCCTTGAAGACAAGGTACCTTTTTTTAAAAAAATTATTTCCCTCATGGTGCCTAGTATAGCCATCCTGTGTGTGTATTTGTACACACATGCAGACACCAGCATGCTCATGTGTAAGTTTCAAGTAATCATAACCATTCAGAAACTCCTAACTATATCAATGCCTCTATTCACCCTTTAGCCTGGAATATCCATCTTGGCTCATAATTTGCCAAATCTGTTTGATCCACAGCTGTGCTTTTTCCAGCTGTCCCTTAATATCTATTGGACCCCCTAACTAGCTGCACCACCATGAGGCTTCATCCTTAGCTAGCTCAGACCACCAATGCCAAGAAAAACATTGAGTTTTCCCCTCCAGTGTGGAACTATTCCATTTGGTCATTCCATGAGGGTGAACTAACTATGGGCTATTTGATTCCTTCTCTGCAGATTCTGGAAGTACACATAGCCCGAGGACATTCAACCAGATATTGGGGGTAGGAGGAGGTGAAGGACAGAGCTTTGGCTTCAATATCAAATCTTTTCAAAGCATTTCATGTCAACCCGTGTTTAAAAAGCACTTGTTTGTGCAAAGCTGTAGAGACTTAGAGATAAAAAGTGGCCTAGTCCATGCCCTCAAGTTGGGAAAGAAAAAAGGAAAGCACTCCTCGCGTCTTGGGGGTTGATTGTTCCTGGGTTCCTGTGGCTCTCATGAGCCACCTTTCTTCCTGTCAACATTTTGATAACAGGGAGAGTTCTGTGCCAAAAAAAAAAAATCTAATACTCATAGGCCAAAGACTTTGGCACCAAATATTCCACACACAGAAGCTGTAAAAAGTGAGTGAGAGCCAGAGAGCAAGCGAGAGAGAGAGAGAGAGAGAGAGAGAGAGAGAGAGAGAGAGAGAGAGAGAGAGAGAGAGAGAGAGAGAGAGGAGAGAGAGACAGAGAGAGAGAAAATGTGTGTGTGCATGTACTTTCTCTCCAGGAAGTAATAATTTTTAAAAAACACTATAATAAATAGCTTCTGCCATCAGCTCTTTCATTTTTTTTAAAGGCTCTAAAAGTGTTTTGTGCTACTTTGGGAAACAAAGAAAAGCCCCACTGAGCTTGTGAATGGTAAGATAGCAGAGATTTCAAGAAATATCTTGATTTTCTTCTTTGAAATTCACTTAATTAAGCAATTAGGGTACTTAAAGGAAAGAGAGCAAACAAAGTTTACAGGTGAAAAAAAAAGGAATACTTCTGAAATTTCAGGAGAATTTGAGTAAAAGTGTGCCTCTACCCTCCTTCCTTATGGATATCCTGCAGACAAGAGACTGAACAAATGAAGTCACCCTGCAATAGTCCTGGCAGCTAATATAGTTCTGAATTGGTTGAGAGGGTCAGACCTTAACCAATCGACTTTTAAGGATCCAGTTAGTAGCTGCCTTTAAAAGTTTGTCCTGGACCTAATCTATTTTCAATGTGAAAGACTCAGCAGTCTAGCTTGACTCTAGGGTTACTCCCATGGGATTGGATCTACTGTTGGGGGAGTCTGGGATAGTTTCCAACTAGCTTCTTAAGCATGCCCCAGAGTAAGAGCTCTTAACCTTTTTTGTCTGTCAGTCCCCTGTGGAAGCCTAGAAAGGCCTATGAACTGCTTCTCAAAATACTGTTTTAAATACATAAAATAAAAAGAGATACGATTATAAAGGAAATTAATTATATTGAAATATATTCATAATAAATGCAAGTTCATGAACCCCAGGTTAAGAAGCCCTGCCCTAGGGTGAAGATGAATCCCTAACTGGGCTTCACAACTGCCCACAAAATATCCCAAACCTCCTGTAGATCTTTTAGATAAGGAAAGCCAGAACCCCTTGGGTCTTTCAAAACTTTACTAATTATTCAGGCTCATTTGGACAGGCTATAAACTGATCTTTGGGGGATAAAAAATGAAATGATGAGTCCCTATGCATCTTCTCCTATTTATTGAACAGTGTACCACTCTTTTATTCTACAGAGCCCCTGAAACCACAATTCTATAATCCACATATTTCTCCATTCATCCTTTAGTTTTATCTTACCTTATTTTGTTGATGACTTTCACTCCTACTCTACCCACCCCCATTGAACTCCTGAGTACATTAGCTCAAGATGCAGAGCCTCCCTTCACCTGTCTAATTCTCTTAGTTCTTCATACCCAAACCCTGGCTCAAATTCTATCTCACCTTCCCCTCAACAATCCTTAAACATAGATCTAAACCAGTACCTCTGTGTTTGAGAGCTGAAACCAAGGCTGTTTGCCATAGGTGAAGATCTCCCAGAGGATCACCCCAAAGCTCCAGACATCACTTTCTGTAGTAAACTTCCTGTACATGATGCTTTCTGGAGGCATCCAGCGAATTGGTAGCATGGTGTGACCTCCCACCTATATGGAAGCAGACAGAAATTCACATTGGGTGATCAGAGGACTAAATTCCTTTCTGGATTGTTATTTTTACACATATCCCACCCACAAGATCACTCAATTCAATCATGATCCCAGACAGGTCACAGTTATATCCAACTTACAACACAATGTTTATGAATACATTGCTATTCTAAAATCTAAAATGTTGACAGCATCAGTAGGTAATGGTAAATGGAGATACGGAGATACCACCCTCTCTAACATTTAGACCAGTCAACTGACCCTGTGGACAGATCACAAGTCAAGAAAATGAATAGAAGATAAAGAATTTAGTGTGTCATGAAGACTGTGAAGAGATTTAGGAAGAAAGCTTGGAGGATATGCTTTTTTTTTTGGAAGATGCCTTTTTTTAGAAAACTGTTCAAGTACTTGATGGGGCCTCAAGAACAGCAAAGTCTCACTATCTGGGAACAGAGGGAATTGGCATACTATCAAAATAGGATTCTAAAATATAGCAGCTTATTATACTCGTTGGTTCCCTATCTAGACATCATTTCATATAAATACAATCTTCAAAAAATAGTATTTTTATATCATTCACAGACTCTGAGTAGATAACCATAGACTCAGGAATAAGGAACAAGAAGAAAGTCCACAAAAGGCATACAAGTATTTTGGTGGATCAAATAAGAATTCGAGGAAAACATTTATAAGACTACAAGGGCATTAATAAGTGGTTTCTTAAATACATAAAATTCATAGTCAGTGAGCCCCCTTGATTAATTCAGTGGAAAAAGACATTTTGAGCTGTGTAATCATTATAATGACTTGTCTTGACCCTGAAAAAGATATAAGAAAGTACAACCCCTTTATTTGCAGAATGGTAGGTGGGGAGCACTATATATACTGTCAGACCTTGTTGAAATAATGGTAGATTTTGCTCAAGTTTTTTTTTTCCTCTTTCATTCTTTGTAATAGGAGATGGTTCTCTGGGTAGGGAAATGGGACAAATATATTTGGAAATGAATGTAAGGTGAAAACAACAGTAATAAAAATTGAAAAAAAAAGAGAAAGAGGTATGTTCAGAAAAGTCAATAAAGAAAATAGCACAGATGTAATTAATTATTTCATATATTTAACTGAAGGAAAAGAATAGAGAAAGTTCTACTGCTAAATAAAGTAGAGGCATTAGACTAAGAAACTGCAGTAAACACATTGGATATTATAGATAAAATTGGTCATCTTGATGAAATAAATTACCAAGACTTTGGGCATCGACTTAACAATTAGTAAGGGATTCATAGGTGAAATTATGAACAGATTGGCCCAAATATCAAACCCATTATTGCCAATGGCCACTGTGCCAGCATCTTGATAAAAATGGAAAGAACATTGGCTTGAGCATCAGAAAAATTAGACTTGAATCCTAACTCTGCCCCTTATCCCTCTGGATCGTCTTTGACAAGATCTCTCAGGGTTTCAACTTCCTTATGCACAAAATGAGGGAGTTTGAACTAGTTGACCCCTGATTTCTATTCCATATCAAGACCAATAATTCTAGACTACATGTGTTACAGTGTATTCAGTCATAGGATAGGAATATAATAGAATACTAAGGTGCTGTAAGAAACAAAGAAAAAAGATAGTTTCCAAAAGACACGGAAAGACACTGTATGAACTGATGCAGAGTGAAATCATGAGAACTAGAAGAATGACTTATACTATAACATCAATAATGTAAAAATGAAGTATTCTGGCAGACATAAGAACTCTGATCCGGGGTTGGCAAGCAATGGCCTGTGAGCTAAAAAGGTTAGCTAGCAAGTGTCTAAAGCTGGCTTCGAACTCTGGTCTTCCTGACTCTAGGCCCAGAGCTTTATCCATTATATTTCCTAGCTGTCCCAGGAGTCAGGAAATCTGGATACTAATCCTAGCTCTGTCATTAACTACCTGTGTGACTTTTGATAAATTGTTCCCTGCCTTGGAAGGTTCATTTTTCTCAGATTGAAATGATAATGTAAACTAGGTAGACTCCCAGGTTCCTTTCAGGGCTAAAATCCTCAGATTCTAATCTAAGAAAAGCTGGAGATGAAAACAGAGAAAATTTACGCATAAAAATATCTTGGCCATAGGAAATTGGTTTGGGGGTGAGCAGAGTGTGGTAGGGAGGTGAAGAAGCTCTCCCTAGAACCTCAGTGTTCAGTTCAACAAACTTTTATTCAGCCCTTGCTGCCGGCCAGGCACTCTGCCTGAAGAAACAAAAACAACAATCCCTACCCTCAAGGAGTTTATATTCTACTGGAATTTAATACAAAACAGATTTCTTTCTAAAAGACACGGAAGAAGGTACTTATAGGGCCAGAAGGGACTTATCCAGCGGAAGGGCTTGGGGGTCAGAAACATGTGGAACCATATCTGGGGTAGAGTGAAAGAATCTCTGTGACTGTATTTTATTTGTCAAGCCTTAGTCCTAAGCAGCATCTTTAGTCTCCTCAAGAGAAAGGGAAAAGATATGTTATAAAGGAAAGAGCATGGGTCTTGAAATACAAATGAAATCTAAAGACCAGCCTTCTAGTCTTTGCTCTGATCCTTATTAGCCATGTGGTGCTGGGTTGTCTCAGTCTCCTTATCTGTAAAATGAGAATAAACACCTGATGGGTTGTTGTGGGAAAAAAATTGATCTACCGCAAAGTGATTTGAAAATCTAAATTATTATCACTCTCAAGGGGAAAGGCAGGTGAGATGGAAGGAGCCATCTCCCAGAAGCAGCTTTTAACCACAAGGGACTGGACAAACTTCGGAAATGTTCTTCTGCCAGTAGAGCACAACAGTCCCCTCTCTCCCTGTCCTGTCTTTCTCTGCTTGAACACCAGGATCACCAGCTGCAGGGGAATAGCCAATCACCACGTGCCAAATAGCAGGTGCTTAAAGCACTGTGACTTTCTCAGTGAGAGCAAAATGTCCTATATTGTGAATATCGTCCCTTGCTTTCTCTGATGAACCTGCTTTCAAAACCCCTCAGCAGGCCTGCTTTTGCTTTCCACTGCCATCCTGCCGGGAGCAAGGACCTGTATCTCCCCTCCACTTATTTTAAGTGATTGATTCTACCCCTTGGTGTCAGAGTGGGCCAATTGCCCTGGTTTAAAGGGAAACTCCACTGTGCTACCAAGGGTTGTCTAATCATTGCATCCAATTACACGGGAAAGGAAATCATTAAAACAAATTGGGCCTAGTGGAATCAAAAGGAGAACAAACAATGGGAGAGCTATAACTTCCAGCCCCAAAACAAGGAAAACCCCAGTTCTCTCTAAGGAGTTCAAAAGACCTCACAGAAAGGATTTTCTCAAATTTTATCATAATAGCCATTCCACAGAGAAAGAAACTGAGTCCCAGAGAGGCTGAGCCTTAATTTAAGTTTGCACAAGTGGATCAGTCACTGAGGGACAGGAGAGATCTCCCCTGGATATATAAATCAGTTCATTTTAAATACAGAAACTTTAAATGGATAAGAAGGTCCTGATCTTCTGGGGAGTTGTAAAACTCAAGCAACTAGGTTTTAAAATGTTACCTGATAGCAAAGTGCTTAATCAGCAAACTTTTACATAGCTAGGTAGGTAAGTACCATTTTTTATTTACTCAATATTAAAGTTTGTTGGTTGGATCTCACCGCACATTGGACATTTTCCAAGTTTTTCTGTTTTTCTTTTTCTTTTTTTTTTAAATGCTAACACGAGCTTTCTTCATCTCTTGGAAAGTCTCCTGATTTCCCATCTGTCCCAATGAGATCTGCCTTCTCTATTCTACTCTATGGTATCAGATGGGAGTACCAGCTGGGACCTAGCAATAAAAGGGTAGCTCACGCTGAAAGAGACACCAGGAGCAGCCACAACAGTTACAGCTGTAGATAACAAAATGATGCTAGCACATGTTCTATAGAGGGCTTTGAAATGTCACATATACAGAACATGGTTCAGAGACGCAGAATGATGAGCTTATTAGAGTGTGAACATGCTTACATATCTACATACACCACCTACCAATTGATTCCTCTCAGTTACACAGACGCTTTGGAATCTCCTCTGGGAATATTTAGGAAACAGTTTGACAAATACCTTTCTGAGATACTTTTAATATACTCCTGCCTAGTCTTTCCCTCTCTTCTCTCTAATTCCTTGATCAAAGATGTGTATAGATTGAAATGGTCTATTGAAGCAGCTTTGAAAACAGCTTCAAAATCTAGTTGGGTACTTTCTCAAAAAAAAATGATAACAAGCCATCCATATCTGCCCATCCTGCACAACTTTTGGCCATGTTCTCCTGTAAAACTATTCTAGGGACCTTCCTCTCATTCTTTTCATTTCTTGGATACCAGTAGAGAATACAGGTTATCCAATGGTGATCCCTTATTTTTGATGTATAACCTGCCATGTATGACCATCTTTTTTTTTTCCTCTGGCCAAATATTTCTCTGATGATGTCCTTTACACACCTTCTCCTGAGTCATTCCATTTTGTAATGCTTGCTCAGGCCTACCATGTTCCTCTCCATTGACAAGCCCCATCAACTCTGATGTTCCTTTATATCTTCATATATCCATGACTGTTAAGAAACAGACTGTTAAGAAACAGTCTACCTGCTGGTCCTCTACTAGCTCTTCATATGTGTTCTGTCAAGACAAAAAATTGGCATGCTCACATATAAGAAAACAGGTTTCTTGTACTGAAACCAAACTTCAGACTGCTTCTGATACAGATGCCTCCTTTCCTTTCCTACTCCCTCCCTACATAAGTACCAATTGGGAGATGGCTTCCAAGTGGCTTCCTGGTTGGAAAACAATGAAAGGATTTGTAACTCCTATTTTGAAAGTACTTTGAATTCGTTGAGAAAAAGGTGCTGAAGAACCCACAAAGGTATGATTATAGTATTACTTTCCTGGGAAGGGACTTTGTGGGAAGACTTAGGAAAAAGGCATCTCTTTAATGGAACCTTTACAGAACAACACAGAATGAAACTCTAAC